AGACTAAACAGGCTTGTGTAGCTGGGAACTGGCTGCTTCCTAACAGATTAAAACAGGAGTTTTCCATAAGGTGGAGGTATATGTTGCCTACATCTTTGCACAATATTTAACATATAAGGACAGAGACTATGTAGCCATTTCTGGCTCAGCTGCCAAGAAAAGCTATAGGTCAAACAGGAATTAAACTAGTTTCACTAGCCACTTTTGGAAGGGGGTAGAAACAGGGAGGAACAGCTTGCACCCCTTGCCGTCTTTCTTCTGTATGCTCAATATCAGTCCTGCAGTTGTTGGCTGGCACACAAGATGCCTCAGCCAGCAGGACCACATTGCCTTTTTGCAGTAAGAAAGAAAACATCTGGTAAGCAGCATCTGTAATAAGTCAGAGGAAGAAAACAGAATACAAGTGTCTGTCATACTAGATCTTCTGCCTCTTTGAAATATCAGTAGAAGGAGGAATATACATTGTCTACATAACCCACAACTTTGAGCAATCATCACTTGTCGTGGAGCTTAAGCCACAAAGAACTTTATCTTGATACATGGGGTAGAAATTAAACTTATGTACAAGTGCAGAGATGTATGAAGAAATTATCCTGCATAGTAGTCATGGGTCTCTGACTCATAAAGTAAGTTAACAACATGAGTATGAAAAGTGAGGTTTTTTTAGGCTATATATTTATTAGAAGTGGTATTAATGTATGAATCCACCTTGGAAGAAAATAAGTGTCCTTGAGATGTTAGATTCTATCAGCCAAATTGAATGTCTGCATCAATGGCTCTCCCTAAAAGTCATAATTAGGTCATTAAAATATATTTAGAAAAATAGCCTGTAAAATAAAGTTAAAAAATACTCACCTTCATTTTATTTCATAGGTCACTGTTATACCATCTAATAAGATAATTAAAAACATGCAAGCAGCTGGTACTGAGGCTAAACAGATTAATGTAATAGTCTGTAGTCATATGTGCTGGCAAGGGGTTCACCTCTTTGGCGAGGAGAAGGTCAGCTGCCCTTGGGAAGGCAGGAGAAAGACAGTATTTCTACTTTCCAGTGGCACTGCATTGCAGATACTGAAACTAGAGACCCACACCCATTTTTCTTTTCCTTTTGGTGAAGTCCAGCCAATTTGCACATCCAGAAAAGGCTTTAACCACAGGAGTAAAATAATAGAGCGGAGCTCAAATATTTTCCTCAAGTTTCTTATGTTTTAAAGATGAGAGTTACTATATGTCTAAATCCTTGTTCAGATTTTTCTAATAGTGAACTTCAAATTTTAATGGTTCTAGAAAATAGTTTTCATAATTTCTTATTACTAAAGCTTCTTCTTAAGTACATAAAGAATACTTCCATTAGAGCCTGAAGATCAACTAGAAAATTCTCTGTGACCTGACAGGACACGTTTGCAAACTCACAGAATATTTAGAAATATGTACTAGTCGTATGTGCTTTTCACTTACATTACTTACAAACTTTATGACCTAAAGGGAAATGCTCACTGTGTGAACATAAGCAGCATTAAATCTGTGCTGTGATCAACACAAGCAAGAGCCACAAACTCTAAGGTGACACCATCATATTAAAAACTAAAACCATACAAATAGTTCTGGAGCATTATAAATATATCAGAGGATAATGATCTGACATCCTTTATTAATGCATACACACACATCGGGAGTCTTGTACTGGATATTGTAAAATTGTCCTTTAAAATAAAAAGTGTTGAAATCGAGTAACACCCCGCCCAACAATTTTTTACTGTTGTAAAAAATATATACTCTTAAGAGCACTTTCATACAAAAACACATTCACATTCAAATATTTTGAAACATTTGGAGTTGCCTCTTCTCCTAAATAAATTGTGAAGAGACTGCTACTGATAAAACATAAAGTAGTTTTTCTTTCAGTAAAAATTTCCAGTAGAATTTTGCATGTATTAGTCTTCTGCAAGCACGGCATCTACCGTGATCCAAAGATGCCTTTGCCTCTTTTAGGGTAAAAATTCACAAGCCAGTCTTTTCTAAATACAATAGACTGAAACACATTGGGTAAACTAGACTATCATCAGTTTTATCAAATTACTAACTTACTGAAACAATGTTCATTGACAGTATCCTAAAGTAAGTCCAAATCTCTAATGAGCCCTTAAAGAAATAACAACCATTTACCATCGTTACCTTTCAAGGTAGTTTAAGATTCACTTTTCATCTTTCATAAGGTATTAGCTGCTCATTTTTACTTAATATGCAGCTCAGAATGATAACTATCAACACAACATTCAATCCAACTAGCAGAGTTACAGCCAGTCTCATTATATGATGGAAGCTACTTGCCACTGAGCAGAAAATATTCATTTCACACCTTAAACATTGTAATACTATTTAATAACAGTGCTAGCTTGCCAACTATTGAAACTCAGAGGTTTCTTTTATATATATACATGTGTATACACACAGAGACATATATACATACACACGGTACTATCTTGCTTTACCATCTTGTCTCTAATTATAACAATAACACTCTGGCAGTGGTGTATGGGACTGCTTTTAAAATATTAATTTATTTCAGTGTTCTAAGTTGGGATGTAATCCTCTCTGACAGAATACAATTATTTAGTGGAAGTTGTAGCCAACATTTTATTTTTTATATGCACTTTGGACTAAGGAATATGGAAATACAAAGACCAGCTTTAACCTCTTCTTATTTGTGGAGCATTAAAGATCGCAGGGATTCACTACAGTTTAGGCTGGGCTAGTTTAGCCCCCTGGACTGGCTCACTGAGAAGTAAGTGCCACTGGATGAGTGAAGAAGGGGTAGGAAGACAGGGTCGGACCCCAGCCCCACAGCTTACACTCCTGTGGAATCAGAGCCTAGCTGAAGCTGTCTTCTTCAAGTTCTACCCTGGCAGGTACAACAGTTGGGGCTCTTGAGTTAACGACTTTCAGGTGTAAGTGTCCTGGAATTAATGGCAGAGCAAGCTCTCAACTCCTTCCTTTTGCTCATCTGGCCAAATTCTACTTTGCTTATTTTTCAGAGACTGCTTCATGGTCTCTCTATCTACATACGCTTCTCGCCTAAAAAACATGATGATTATTCTGGGTGGTATTTTTCAGCCCTTCTTTTAGAATCATAGAATCGTTTAGGTCGGAAAAGAATACGGTCGTCAAGTCCAACTGTTACCCTAGCACTGCCAAGTCCACCACTACACCACGTCCCTCAGCACCACATCTACATGTCTTTTAAATACCTCCAGGGTATTTAGGCCCCTCACCAGCTTCGCTGCTCTTCTTTGGACACGCTCCAACACCTCAAAGTCCTTCTTGTAGTGAGGGGCCCAAAACTGAACACAGGATCCGAGGTGCGGCCTCACCAGTGCCGAGTACAGGGACACGATCACTTCCCTACTCCTGCTGGCCACACTATTCCTGATACAGGCCAGGACGCTGTTGGCCTTCTTGGCCACCTGGGCACACTGCCGGCTCATGTTCAGCCGGCTGTCAACCAGCACTCCCAGGTCCTTTTCCGCCGGGCAGCTTTTAATTTAGACAGTACGTTACATGCATTAGGGAATACAAATATGACAAGAAATTGAGTCAGGCAGAACTCTGAAACGGATCTGCTGACATATTTTTCTCGAAGTGAACATGTTAACTACCCTCGAAGGGTATTATTTCACCACAAAGTAGGTTTCATTAGAACAGACTTACTAGAACACAGAAAATTGGAAGCATTTGTAAATCAAACCTCCCCTGTGTCCCTGTGTCCCTGTAGACACACCCTTTTTTCCAACCTTGCTGTCAGTCCAGAAGCTTCCTCTGAGCGTCTGAATCGCAACCAACTCTTCGCTGTTCCCTCTAGGTCCTTACGAAAAGTCTTTCTTTTCAACATCCTCCAGATCAGGCTCTCTGCTCCCTGCTCTCCCCAGCACTCTCTCAGTCTCCAGCCTGCAACAGGTTCCCCGGGCGCCGCTCCCCCCTGCCACCCCACAGCCGAAGGCTCCTCCTGCCCAGCACAGCTCACGGCCTGCAGGACGGTGCGATATTCCCCACCCAGCCAGCTGCAACCAGGACAAGGCAAACAGGCAGGTTCCTCCTGCCTGCCTGCCTACACCTCTTTGAAGTACAGACTCCAGTAGACTACAAACAAAAAATGAAAAAGATGCCATCCATCATAGTTCAATAAACGAATCCAAAATAAGCACGTGGTAAGCCTGTTTTGTTTTATCATACATAGGCATCGACATCAGATGCAGTCGTTCTAGTTAGCACAAATCTTACCATTAATTTACCAGTCACAAGGACAAAGATTTAGCATGTCTAGCAGAGGCAGTATTTCGCTGGCTGAAAGATGAAGCTACGCATCTGCGGATTAGCCTTCTGTGCTTTCAAGTACAAGACACCCTCCGGTATGTACCCAAGCAAGACTCAGGCTCAGCGACAGCGCTGCAAAAAGTTGCTCAGCATCATGTTTCTTTAACCAGTGTTTACCATCAACAGAATTTAAATTTATTTTCCTGTTAGAAAACCTCAAATTTAACAGGTCCTGGCTTTGGTTTTTGACCTGAAATAACGAGCAAATAAGAGTTCCGTGTGGTCCATAGATCCAGTTACTTTGGAGAACATCAGAAAGGTGATCTCTGGTGAGTTAAATATTTCAACAACTTTTAGATTAGCTGCTATGAGTTTAGGTGAGGATTCCTACTTTATTGCATACTTTGGAGAAAAAACCAAACACACCCTTAAAAATATTTAGGCTTACAAACATCCTGTACTAGTCAAGCATGTTGAATAGCTTTCTCAAAAAATAATAATCAGGAAAACAACTTTTCAGATAATTCCTTGATTAAATCCTTCATGTCCTTCAGCCTACTGGTCGTTACAATTTAGATTTTACAAAACTCTCAAAATACACGGACCTCTTATTTTGCTTTAAATAGATTATGTCGCTTATTATATTCAAACTTTGTAAAACTCGAAAATAAATTTAAAAAATTACTAACCTGTAAGAAATAAATGTTCCATCAGAATCTGAGGTGTGGTGTGCGCTTCCATTTTCATTTGATTCTCCTAATACAAAAATAAAGGAAAACACCTTTGTTATAAGACAAACCCTGATAATAAGTAACTCAGTATCGATGAGTATTGCAACTGATTTTACATATATGGTAACTTTAGTTTATGACAAAACTTATATAGACAAGTCTCATTTTTACATCTCAAATTCTTACAGCTGGCAAGACAGACAACTAGCCTCCATGTTCATTTGGCATCTGAATGTTCTGAAAATCTGAGATTTAATTTCACTTAAAGTTTTCATTGAGGCCCTTTTCAACTTATTAAACACAATTTTAGTCGTATAAGGTTACAGAATTATACTAGCATATAAATAGATGAGTTTGATTTTACTAATATTATGTCAAAGAATGTAAAAGTTCATCTATTTTGTGAAAAATTTCAAGTTGACTGTATGATACTACATATTTTTTGTCATAGCACAAGTTCAAAGCTTCTCTGAAATTACCCAAGTAACACGTCTGCGAAACATCTTGTTTTACATCCTGTGGGCTGTTTATACATAGAATAGTGATGTTCACAGAAATCAAGGATTACAAGGAAACCCGCCTCTCTATAATAACTACTTCTATTGAAGAACTGTTAAAAGTCAGAAAGAATAATCTGTTTTTCAAAGCAAATTTATTCTTGACCAACCTGTCATTTAGCTTGATAATTCTTCTGTGTCCCTGTTTTTTTATTTCCTTAATTCACTTGCAGATAGCATCGCACACTTTTGTGTCCTCTCTTCTACTTACTGAAATCAAGTTCTTTTGGTCTTTTTCCTAAATGAGGCTCCTTATTGCCTGTTTTGTTTAAATCAGTCCTTCTTACACATGGAAAAGAAGGGACGGGAGCTGTAGACAGCATACTAAAGTTTAACCAGTTGATTCTTTGGACAGTGGTTTTCCTCTCTATCAAAAAAATCTTGCTTGATACAGTTTATAGTCACGCCACACCATCTTGCAGTTTCACCGTCATCCTTAACCAACACTCCTACGCATTTACTCTCCATTTTTATTCACAAAAAGAAGTTTGCAGTCTACAGTAAAAATTCTTGCTAGTACAATACTGTATTTCAGACTATTTCATGCTGTTTATAGTCCTCTTTTCCTCAGAAAGGACCAGTCCTACCTGAACACTCTATTTGTGCTTGCACTGGATGCTACCTTCTAATATTATTTCTTCATAAAAGTCCATAAGTGCCATCTCTCACTTTGTTGCAAGACAACAAATAAGATCAGTTCCACCACAAACTCCACTAAAAATAATTCTTTCATTAAAATCTGCACTTCTCTATTCATCTTCTAATTACTATGCTTCACTGATCCCTATCCTACCTATTTTGTAACAGCTCCTGTGGCACTACATCAGATGGTTTACTGAGGGCCAGACAGATTTAAGGTACTTCCTTAATGTATATTTTGAAAGGCTAGCGGGTTAGATGGCCACAATCTCCCGTTTAACAAAACATACACACTAAAAGTTACGGCATTCACTTTTCTTCTCTCTCTTACTTCATCAAAAACTTTAATAAAGCCCTGCACAGATAGTATTTTAGTAATTTTCTTACGCATGGAGACCAAGGGCTTAAGGGAGCTGGGACCTGGTACTACTGGACACAGCTGGAGGCTGTTTCAAGAGAATTTGCGTAACTTGAAATTGATGCTTTTCCTAACCAGGCAAAAAAAGAATATTTCATATGCTGACTTCTTTAGATTTCATAGATGCATGGACAATGATTTGTAAATTGTACATTTACCAGGGTTCCAGATTCACCCACAACACACAACCTTGTCACTTGCAGTAACCATTTTCTTTACAAGAAACACATTTGAGATTATAGACATAGCATAAAATAGACGAACCCAGAATAAGAAAAATGCCAATACACTTTCTGAAGATTATCTGGAAAACATGTATAGAAATTGTAACATGGAGAAGCCTAACTTAAATACGCACACTATTTTTGTATTTTTATTTTTTTAACAGCCTATTATACTGATAGCATAATATCTTCTCAAAGAAGAGCTTTTTCAAAGCGCAGTGCACGGTTTCCACTTCAGGCAGTAAGAAGAAACCGGGTAGCATTTCGGAGCCCCACTTCAAGAGCAGGAAGACGCTCTGGGTACGCACAAGGCACAATGAGCACTCTGAGCTTAAACATGTGCTCAACAAGACTAAAAAAGCATGTGAAGAACGATGTAGGGATCAGACACTTCTCCCTCATCTCCTTCATTACCTCTCTGGAAACAGCCATTTTCTGTGAGATGCAAAAATTCAGCACAAGACTTCTTACGGAGAAGGGCTGGGATACTACCATAACCAGCGACAAGTCTACGAAGACAGAAGCTCGAGTGACATACCCTTACTCTATGGATACACTCCTACTTTTAAAAATAATTGAACTCTTTTTTTTTTTTTCCCCTTTTGAAAATATGTTTTGACACTAAAAAAGTGTCTTTACATATATACATATTTCTCTAGGTATGTATATACACATACGCATGTCTATGTGTGGGCACACATATATATTTATGTAGTGCTGACCAATTTACCAATCTTGTGTCAGCTGTGAAAGGGTTTTATGGCTGGCAGTTTATGAATTCATGACAAAAGTGATCCCACTTAGGAAATCAAACTGTGCATTCCCCTGCTTACAAGTGTCAAAATGGAGACAGATCTTGCTGCTGATGAGTTTGCACCCTGCTTAATATTTTCTTTGTATTCTAATCAAAGGTTAAATAAATTTTGGTTCTTTAACAACATTTTAAACAGTTGTGAAAATTTAAGTTCAGATTGATATAAAACACTCAATCATTAATGCAGTTTTATGATTAGAGACAAGGAAAATTGTAACACAAATATATGCTTGCAGTCTAAGGTTGTCAATTCTTATAACATGACTTCCAAATTCCATGCTATATTAATTTTCAGCATATTTAAAGCTTAATAATTTAATGATTTATCCAATTTTAATTTATACTTTCAAAACCACTTTGAACAATCTGAGGTGCCACTGGAGATCATAACAGTGGTCCTGGTTAAGTCAAATAATAATTATAGCGCTTTCACTTTAAAGATGAGATTATTTTTAATTATTGAGTGAAGTACTTGAGGTACCATACTTATATAATTACGCTACTCATTAAATGGTTATTGAAAGCTGAAATGTAATTTTAATGACAGCTACCTATTTTTCTTTGCACACTTTATAGATGACAGATCAGTCAGGAATTCTAGTTTGCTCAAAAAATCCTTGCAGCTGCACTGGTTCTTTCAGGTGTAAAACAATTAAGCTATGCTTATTTTAAAAATTTAAACTTTTCTTTCTCAAATGATATTTATACGATATATAGGAACTAGTAAAAACAGAACAATAATGCACGGATATTTTATCTTCTTCACAATAACACCAAAATTCTGGCCCGAAACTATATACATTCTAAACAATATCCCCCCAAAACTAGTGACAATATAGATATGGAAGAATGATTTTAGTCAAAATGTGTTCCTCATATAATGCAAACAAAAAAAAAAGATTGCTTAACAGATTGCAGACCTTTATTGTGAGTATAAAGGGGTAATCAACATACAATAAGCATTTTACTATGCATTAAAACTATATATAATGCCACGAGACTCTTTTGCTTTCTGTAACACCAAGGTTCACAACTCTTCAAACATAAAATTCCTTCCTACTATGTACTCCACAGATAGATATTCATCAAACTGATCTGGACAAAATTTATTCTAATATGTGGGAATCTCTGACAATTGACACCACAGAGTTGTGGTCTCAGAAATAAGCACCTAAAGACTCAGCCTCTGTATTTTAACCCTTTATACGCAGTGTTTGGGATTCAGCGTATTTGTCCATTGTTCCGAAGGCCAGTATCTCGTTCAAATGAAGCTTTCCTTTTTCACAGTGAAAACCAAACAGAAGAGTAAATTTGTTTCATTAACAATATTAAAGCAAAAGATTTCCGAGTTCGCTGTATGGGGAAAAGGCAATAAAGTTTTGAAGAGGGAAACACTGCTTTGTTCCTTCAATCCCCTAGTTGAAATTAATTATAGCAAATGTTTATGAAAACATCTGTTCCATACAGTTATAAATTCTTAATTTTAGCATGGGCGATTCCAGGCTCCTCTATTATTTTGAAAGAGAGCAGTCTGGCAATTGAAAGGTTTAGACAATTTGTATTTCTACGGCACCAAATATGCAGTTTGGAAAGTCTTCAGGATCTCTGCAGCGAAGAAAAAAAAAAGAAAAAATACAAAAAGACTGAGACGACTGAAGCTTTCTGATCTGGGTCCGCTGACAGACCCAAATGGCAGTAGGAGGAGAAAAAAAAAAAAATAAAAGGAGAACTAATCCCAAAACATACGGCAAATGGAGATTTTACTACACAAACTAGATCTTTAAAAGGTAAAAGGCAGCGGAGCGGTGGATTGCTGTGCCAGGCGCTTTGACAGGCTCCCGAGGAGCGCGGGAGGGAAGCTGACGGCTTTGCTGCATCGCGTCAAGAGAGGGTGCTGCAGAGTTTAAGATGATGCAGTCGCTGCTCCCCTGCCGAAGCTCCGTCGTTGGTTACCAGCAGCCCCTACGCAGAGAATCTTTCGGACTTTTTACATAACACCCTTGCAACTACAGTGTTAAATTCAATTTACACCAAATAAGCTTTTAAAATGATTAAATGGAGCAAGCTCGAAGCAGTGTACAGAAACTGAAAATAATGCCTTCAGCTAAAGAATTAAGTGCACAGCACTTCTGATATTTATAAAATAATTATTAGGCTGGAAAGTTGAAGAACATTTCACTCTGAGCAAGTTGTTTAAGTTTTCTGAAATAAATATGATGCAACTTTTTGGTGAGCAGTCTTTTAAGTACAAACCTGACTATCCCTTGCTTCGAGTTCAGTTAGCGTTAGATGCGTACTTTGAACGCATGCATTGCTTGGTACAGGTTTTTGGGTAGCATTTTAGTTTCAACAACTGTGCCCTAAAATATTATA